AATTATGTCTTGCAATCTGGGTGACCTAGCTTTTTCTTCATTCTAAAAAACAGTTGGTCTGTAGCATTCGTCACATTGGTAGTATCTTTATGTTAATGAGCTCATATCATTTACACAGACGATGGATGTTTTGTGTTGCAAATGTTGCAGTGAATGATTTACCTGTCGAGCCCCCCCCCCCCTTCTAGACACACGGTTGCATAACTAATAATTCCGACAGGTACAAAAACTTGGGCCGTGTGCCAGTGTTGAATTCTTTCAATGTCCATCGGCTTTTGCCTTACTCGCATGTTGTGTGGTGACGTCATAGGTATTCGCTCTTTCTGTCTTTCTCGCTATCTCCTCTTCCCCTCCCTCCCTCCCTCTCTCTCTCTCCTCTGTGTGAGTCAGCCGTTTCTGGTAGCCTTACTTCTCTTCTCCCCTCCCCCCTCTCTACCTCCCCCTCCTCCCCTTTACTCTCTCATCCTCTCCTTCTCTTGCTGTTCCCTCACCCCCCCTCCTCTTGCTCGTGCTCCTCCCCTCTCCCTCCTCTCCCTGTTTCCCCCTCCCGGTCCCCCCGGTCCCCCTGGCGCGGATGTTGGCATGGTGGCTCCCGCGTCGCCTCGGGGGCAATATAGCCACGTGCCACCTGGGCATCTCACTCAGTTCTGGTGTGCCGAGCCGCAGTGAGGTCGTGTGCTTGCCGGCCCTTCCGTTCGTTCGTTCGCTCGCTCGATCTCTCTTTCTCGCGTTCAGTTGGACTTGGGACTTCGTCGACAAGAGTCCCCTCGAAAAGCCACGGTTGCATATTTATTTGTGTCTACTTGTGGCAGTGGTTTTGTTTTGGTGATTGGCGAGTGTGTGACGTCGAGTGAGAAGAACGTTTTATTGATTTTTTTTTTTTACGTGTTTAAAAAAAACGTGCTTTTTGACATTGTTGGTTTGTTCGTGACCTTTGACCGTGCTGTGTCACAGAGGAGACGATGGCCAACTCCACAGCGGAGTGTGGGCGGGAAGGGTGCAGTGTTAGCGAGTGTAGTGGAGGTGTTGGTTGCGGCTGCGGCGGCGGCAGCAGCGGGTGCGGGCGTGCGAGTCCGAGCGGCCGAGTGGCTCAGTTCAGCAGGCAGCGCCGTGGCGAGCGCACCGCTGCCGCACACCACTCCGCCACCGCCAGCGCGCTCCTCAACAACCACTCGTGCACGAATAATTCCCACCCGGATATTTACACGAAGCTCTACCACCAAGACCAGCGCTCCGAGAGCAGCGCAGAGGAGCCTGAGGGCGGCTCAGCGGACAAGACCGAGGCTGGGGCGCAGGGCCAAGAGAGCAGCTCCTCCAGCGCTGAAGGCGGCGGCGCCCTACACGGGCGCAGGCGACACAGCGGAACGGAGCCCATCGGGGGAGGAGGTGCACTAGCGCGCCACGTGTGGTCACACCAGAGGATCGCTCGCTCTCTGTCTCGGGAGGGCTTCTTCCCGACGCCCAACGAGCACCACCCTGCGCTCGTCAGGCCCCTGGCGGCCCTAGGCGACCTGTCGGCAGCGCACCCTGACCTGCCAGCGCGCCTGCACCACCTGGCCGCCCTGCTCTCCGCTCACCCCAACGCCCAACAGCGCCAAAACCCCAGTGTCCCTCCTGTGCTGAGCCCTGCCGACGCCGCCCTCTTGGCGGCTCTGGCACGACTACCCCTGCCCCAGGCGGGCACGCAGGCCTCGTCGCGCCCGGCCGCGCCTCCCTCAGCCAGCGCCTCGGCCCCCACAACTCCCGAGAGTGCATGCACGGCCAGGTGGCCCTCCATCTCGTCCCTGAACACTAACGCGGAGCTCGAGGACACCAGCGCTCCTACGTGGCCTTCCAGGACCTCGTCCTTGGTCTCGTTCGCGTCGCTCCCGGACGACGAGTCCGACGACTCGTCCACCGACGAAGAGGAGTACGGCGAGGACATCATGGCGGGCGGTGACCTCGTGGCGCCGCAGCCCCACTACGACCACCATGCCTACCACATCTATTACGGTAAGGGGCGGCGTGTTTCGGTGCTGGCCGTTTACGTGCGGCGGAGGCAGTGGGTGCGTGTGTATGTGCAGTGTTGTACCGACACACGCCACCGGTAGTGGGGGAGGGGGCGAGGGAGGGAAGCAGGCAGGCAGCGCAGTCCTCACTTTGAAGGTCAGCCTTTGTTACCACGCTCCTGCTGCCCTCACACACCTGCTGCCTGCCTGCTTTGGTTCTGTCATCAGCGTGTTCATTCATTCGTTTGTGTGTTCTGGACGATGGGACCGAGCAGTGTTCTAGTCGCGGGTGATGTGCGCACCTCCATTCAGCGGTAAATCTAACGATCCCTCCCCCCCTTTGCGAAAACACCAAGACTAAACACCTTTGTAATTAGCCTCCGTTACTGCTTCGCAAACCGTGTGTGTTGGTGTAGTCCCGACATGCATTCGCTCTGGGCTAAGCGTAGTTTCCACAGCAGCTCTCTGGTTTATTGATTGTAGCGTGAGGTATGCGGGTGTAGAATGGGATGTAGCGCGGGTGTAGAGTGCAGTTGGTGTAGTAGCGTGGTGGGTCAGGGGACTCTGAGTGTGAACACTTCTCCCCGCCCGCACCCCCGTCCGCCTGCCTACGAGCCTACCTCACTCTTCGTATTGCCAGTAAATTTTTTCTCCATGTATCAGTTTGGAGGGCAAATTATATAAAAGTAGGGAGGTTAGCTTTTGGGAGAGAACTTGCTGGTAAGGGTGTCATTACCAACGTTGTTCACATGGCCTTCAAGTTTTTTTTCCCGTGTCTGATTCAAGGATACTTTTTCGCTGTTAATTTTAGCGACTATTTTTTTATGGCAATAGAGGCGTCATTATCGGCGCCGCGTTCGTTAATACAGGTCCTTGACACGGCCTGCTATCTCTGAAGTGTTGTGTCAATCGGGGGCAGATGGGCCGATAACGGATGGGTGGTGATTCGCGCGGCAGCTGGGCGGGTTGGTCCTCTGGGGGTTTGTTTTTCACACGCCCAAGCCTAAGTTTAGCATATCGATTGGTAGTTCGATTAGTAAGGGTCATTACAGCTTGATAAGGAAGCCAGAGAATAGAGGAAGTGTGTGTGTCGTGCCCCTCTCGCTCCTATGGTCGGGCCGCTCCCCTCCCTCCCTCCCCCCCATTCACCACCAGCTGGGCCACAGTCAGCTGATTGGACTGACGTCATCGTTCGCTTCCACACTCCGCTGAGTATGCAACCTTTTAGCTCGGACAGCCTGGCGTGGAAGCTTATTTATTTAGCTTGTTGTTATTTACAGTTTAGCTTTTGTTTCTAAGATACGATTATAAGTATGATAATGCCAGAGAAGAGAACAGTAGGTCTTGGGATGGATGTTGGCGGGAGAAATACCTTTGGGCGTGTAATGGTAGTTTAGGTTTCCGGCGTGGGTTTCCGGCGAGCGGGCGCCTGGGTGGGGCGGGTGTTCCTCATGTAAGGTTTCCGGCGGGTGTAGGAAAGGGGATATCCGTCGTCATACACACATGCTTCTCCTTGTATCACTTGCACGCATCGCTCGCACCTCCGTCGGACCTTCCTGTGGCAGGAGGGATAGGGAGGAAGGGGGTAGGAGGGGGGGGGCGTGGAAGGGGAGAAGGGGGCTAAGGGTAGAGGTTCTGTGGCAAATCACGGTGGTCCGGAGGTTTAATGAGAGCGCCAGGAGATGCTTCCCTGGCAATTAAGACTGTGGGAATCGCCGAGACAAAGAAACGATGTGCTCGGTTGTTGGCGGCAGGCAGGTTCCCCCGTGGCTTTTTACCCCGGGGAGATGTACTCTTTTCGCGGCAACTTGGGGGCTTTTTCGTTTTCCATTGGGACCTTGTTCTCTCTCTCTCTCTCTCTCTCTCTCTCTCTCTCTCTCTCTCTCTCTCTCTCTCTCTCTCTCTCTCTCTCTCTCTCTCTCCCTTTACTTATTTCCCTCTTCCTTTTTCTTTGTTTCTTCCTTTCTTCACTCTTTCCTATGATGAGCGTTGGTGTTTTGTCGATGCCAGTTCTTCACCGTGAACGCCGAAAATGGTGTGGCTGAGTACCGAGTATTCTGTTTTGAATGACGTCTGCCGTATCCGGGACTCGTTCTACCTACCTACCTGCCTGCCTGCCGCTCTAGGCCGTCCGCCGGGGTAACCCTATCATCTTCCTTCGAGCGCGCACGGAGCATTTCCCTTTGTATCGCGACCAAGTACAATGCGCGCCGGGGTCTTTGTTGTCAAATAAGGGATTACACCCTCACTTCTGGGGAGTGGAATGTTGAGTGGAACGTTCCTGTTGATGAGTTCAGCGTGTGAGTGTTGTTTACGTGCGTCATGTTGGAGCTGGTTCATCGTGGTGAGGCTAGAAGCACATCGCGACCCTGGCCTTGACTGTTACATTCTCCCCCCCCCCACCCCCTCCACCTCCTGTACCTCCCCTGCCCTACCCTCCTCCCTTCCCACCCTCGCCCTCACCCTCTCCCTCTTCCTCCATCCCAACCCGCCATTCCTGTACTTCGGGACATCTCATTCTACGTAGTGTAAAGCGTACACCTTATTCCGGAAAAAATGGTGGATGCGTCATTAACTTTGTTGTCGTGGTTGGAAGCTTGCTCATGTTTTTGACATTTCCTATTATTCGTCATATTCTCAGGTGCTCGCGATAACGGGGCGTAGGGCTCATTATCTACACATTTTTCCCCCCATTTCAGTCTCGCCCTTAAGACCTTGAGTCGTGAATGTACAGTATGCATACACAGCTGATTTCATGCGGTTCGGGAGCCATTGTTCGGTGTTTTTGAAGGTCGGGTGAAATAGCCAGATGGTTTATGGTGTGGCGCAAAAATGGTTGCAGATAGCAGATTGCAAGGACAGATTTCATTGCAGTGCTTCAGTTGGCTTGGCGGGTAACATTAGCCTTTCAAGAGGAATTATAGAGAAAAACAAACAAACAAAAATAGAAGCAGATAGCGTAATCACATCTTTATCGTGAATAAACTAACGTGTTCTTTCCTTCTTCCTCAGGTGGTATGAAGTCAGTGGGTCGGGGAGAGGGCGGGTCTCTACAACCTCGCCTGACCCGGGAGCTAGCCATGTCCCCCGACTACACCAGGCCCAAACGGCTGGACCTCCTCCTCGACATGCCTCCCGTCCCTCGAGATACATCTCTCAAGCACGCGTGGAATGCAGATGATAGGTCGCTTAACATCTTCGTCAAGGTTGGTACTTCTTCGTTTAGGTTTTATCCCTTTCCTCTCATCTGATTGAGGTTGTGATGTAGTTACCATTAAAATGTAAATGTTTGCATCTTACCTCCTGTTATTGTATCAGAAATGAGATGACGTTTTTTTAAATGCCTGATCTGACGTTTACAGGAGGACGACAAGATGACGTTCCACCGGCATCCAGTAGCCCAGAGTACAGACTGTATTCGAGGGCGAGTAGGATACACGAGGGGCCTTCACGTGTGGGAGATCAACTGGTCCACCCGGCAACGTGGGACTCACGCAGTAGTTGGAGTAGCAACAGCAGAAGCTCCTTTACATTCTCAAGGCTACCAGGTACGTTGGGTCACTCTCATTTTTTTGTAAAGGAAAGACTTGATGTTTCGGATGTTTACTTTTGTTTGGATGAATTTGGATATGTTAATTATTTTACATATCTGTGCTAAATGTGTGATTTTTTTATATGCTTTGTGTTGTGTGATAAGATGGGAATTTTAGGGGTAATAGATAGGTAATGTTATTGTTGATTTCTTTTTAAGTCTTTGCTAATAAAATTTCTCATTTCCAACAGAGTTTGGTGGGCAGCAACGACCAGTCATGGGGCTGGGATTTAGGACGAAATAAGTTGTACCACAATGCTAAGCAGGGCAACTCAGGCATTACATATCCTTCTCTATTAAACAATGACGAGACTTTTGTCGTACCAGATAAATTTTATGGTAAGCATACTTTTTTCTTTCATGTGTGTATTTGTGCTTTTTTTAAATAAAGGTATTTTAAAAATACTTTCTCTTAAGTTCAGAAGTAAAGGGTATCTTCACATTTTTTTATATGAATGATTCTTTCTTTACAGTTGTTCTTGACATGGACGAAGGCACTTTGGCATTTGTTGTGGAAGGCCAGTACTTGGGGGTAGCGTTCCGAGGGTTGAAAGGCAAGAAGCTGTATCCTATTGTCTCGGCAGTGTGGGGTCACTGCGAGATCACGATCAGATACATAGGCGGCCTAGATCGTAAGTTGCTTTTGTCCTTTACCCATTACATTGTTATAATGTTATCTATTGATCTGATAAAACCACTTGAGTTGTTTTGCTGATAAGACAATATGTAAATTGTTTGTTTTGGTTTTGAAGTCATAAAGATTTGGATAGTTATAGAATCTGCAAGCAGAACCTCTTGAAGTTATTTTTAGCATTATTTATGTTGCTGGTTGTGAGAAAATAATGTACTTGTGAGTATTTGGCAAACATGTTTTCTAACAGTCGGTTTTACTTTTCAGCGGAACCCCTGCCACTGATGGACTTGTGTCGGCGTGTGATACGACAGGCGGTTGGAAAACAGCGCCTCTCGCGAATTGAGGAGCTCAATCTTCCACTCTCTATCACGCAGTACCTTTTGTACCACGACCGCAGGTGATAGTCGGAGGCAGCTGGCCCAATTCCTGCAGCCCCTCCACAGCTAGCCATCAGGCCCCCCATCCTCCGCACCTCTGAAGCCCTGCGCCGAGGGAGTCGCTCTGTAGCAAGTTAAGAGCGACGGCGGACGAAGTGGGATAAAGCGTCTACAGCATCAGTTGTTCGATAATCAAAACATCCTGTTTTGAAGATGTTTTATAAGAAATAACCTGTGCCATGAGGCATGTTTAGTTTATCAGCATAATTTTATGCTCCAATTTGTTTCCTTATGGAATATTAGCAGGTTTTGAACCAGTGTAGGCAATTTCATTTAGACGGCCGTAACCACTGGCCTGTGCAACCGTACTGCAGGTAGACGCAGTCAAGTGCATATGCGGGACTCTTAGATGTACGTTTATGTCAGTGTGTGTTAGTGTGGCCAAGAGCCATTGTGATAGACCAGGTCAGATAGGCATGTTGCCCCCACAGCCACCCCACTCAGGTACCCAGCCGGGAATCGTGGCACAGGAGTGAGTCAGTGTTTGTGTTGTGGTGTAACATTGTGACAAAGACAACTAGTGTTTTAGATGAAAAAACTTGACCAAATGAGTGAAAAAAGTTTCAAAGAGACTAATGCTGAAACTGAAAGGAAAGTGTGAAAACTTTTAACCCAGAACCGTGGTGGGTGGCATCCGTCTGACCAGTGAGCCGATTGGTGAAGTGTTCATTGCAGGCCAGCCTTGCATCTCTCCTCACCGCCTCTCTCGCATTTTGTTCTGGAGACATTGTAGCGTAAGGTCGAGAGAGAACTGACGGACCCCAGCAATGCTGCTGGCTGGCTCAAGGGTGACGTGGGAGGTTCTTGTATTGCCCCTAGTCCGTACTCTAAATCTCTGGCTCTGAAATGGATGCTTCACTGTTTTTATGTCTTTTTTACACAATTATTTAATGTGACATTTTTTTGAAAATACTGTATTGTCCATTGCCAATATGTGAGATGGCCATTTGGGGGCTCTGTAGACTCCATCATAATCCTAAACAGACTTGGTTGCTGGTTCTCATGAGTTCCTTCTACTTGGTTACCTCATGGCCGGACCTCAACATGGCTGTTGTTCGTCATATAACCATCAACATAGTTGTTGGTGATATATCACGGAGTTCCCTCATTGTATCGTATGCTTAAGTATTTTTTTTTTTTTAAAGTGCCATTTGCAGTAAGACTATCTGGTAGGACTGTGTCACGAGCTCAACCAACCAGCATGACATGGCATCAAGATCTACTGTTCTAGTGTGTTATACTGCAACGTCTCTCACCTAGTACGCATCTTTGTACAAAAATATTAAATATTAATATAGAACTTAAATTTTATTCACCTTGTAAAAAAGAAGATTTGTAAGGCAGAGAACTGGAAAGAAATTAGCCAGTAAGAAATCCCTTAGTATTACAATGCATTCCATTTTTTGTCAGACCTTGACCACATATTTTATATTGGAGGTTATTGCTGAAATTGAATTCTTGTGTATGTAGGTAGAGGAGGCAGATTTTGTCAGTGTGGATTTTCATACAGTTTTAACATTTTCTAGGGAAAAATCTGAATTTTAATGATTCGTGATCACAAAAATTGTAACTTTTTAGTAAAAGGGATACTACACTTGTATAAGTTCCAGTCTCTCATTAAGATTCCTTTTTCTTATAATCTCAAAATAATATGATACATTATTTGTGAAGAAAGATTATATATTCTTGGGACAATTACTGCTGTCTATACTATAACTAATTTTGTATGTTAACTTAGGTAAAACTACAAGTGATGAATAATATTCTTGTGAATGAAACTGAATTATAAGATGGATATTATGTGTTTTAGAAAAGCTGATCATCCAGAAAATGAGGAAAAAAGTCTTTAAAGTATTGGAAACCCATGCCAAATGAATACATTAAACAGGTGTACAAGATTCACAAGAAATAAAGGAATATAGGCCTAAATTATGATATATGAACCAAGAAATTACACAAATGATCAGAAAAATGTGAATGAAGTTGTTTACATCGGGTGAATTATAATTAGGTTTATTTCTTGGTGACTTACAGACTATATCAATGTAATGAAGTATATTTCTTCACATACTCCTATGGCAGAAGATTTTGCATTTATATACTAACATGTACACACACACAATATGATTAAAAAGCTTAAAAGATTTATAAAATACCTAGAATTACATATAGTGAATGATTTAAGAGATATTTAAATAATATATATTATGATTAAATACATATTACAAAACATTTGACAATCAAAATTTTGGATGGCAAACTTCTAGAGAAAAATTAACTTTATTGTAAATATAGACCATATTCTTGAGAGTTAGGTAAAACATCATAAAATATTTTCAAAGGGTTTCTGTAAACCATTTTTTGGGTCATAAGTCAATTGAAATGAGACATAACCTTCAAGATGAGCTTGGGTTTGTATTCATAAGTAAAAAAAAAAATTGTAGTAACAACAAAAATGGAGCAAAGTTTATATAAATAGTGATAGTAATAAACACTACATTTATTTCAGGAAAAGTTGCTTGGATAAAAGATATGACTAAAAGACTAAATTTGTTATAAACAAACCTATATTAAAACTTGTTACAATCTACACTAAAAATAATCATCAGCTTTATGCCATGCTGCTAAAAAAAATCAGGAACACAAGTCAAACAATGACATTTTTTGCACTTACTTAGCACAGTAATATCACTGCACTAAGTGCAATACTACATCACGATTTCCTTATTCCCTATCTAACAACAGTACAAGAAGTGTGTTAGCTGCCCTTGTATATATACAGCTCTACATTATATGTTATTAAAAAAAAAAAATGTTTACATCCCTCCCTTCACTTTCTCTGTTATGGAATTTGCAATTATGAAGTACGTTAGCTGCCCTTGAATATACACAGCTCTACATGTTATTTAAGAAAAAATAGTTTACATCCCTCCCTTCACTTTCTCTGTTATGGAATTTGCAATTATCATGACAAAGCTACTAACAGCACAAAATAATGAAAATCTACATTAGTATATCCATATTAGTACGAGTACAATCAGATAGAGTTGTCCCATCATAAGAACAACAGTTTTAAACCTTGAAGTAAATTTTTCTTTATATATATTCCTCCATAATTATCTACCATGAATTAACTGTTTCAGTAAACAAAAAAGTTCAATAGAATTCCAAGCACTGGTCTTCCATAACAAACATTTAACTAGAAATTACAGCTGAAGATAGTTCATCAAAAACCTGAAATGGCTTTTCTTCACTAAATTCGAGGATATGTAGAGATGTGCTAGAGAGAGTGCAACTCAGGTAATTTTCAACAATGCTCTCCGAAAACGATTGGGTCCTTTGTTGAGAAGTACTAACAGACCATTAAAATAATAATTTGATATTGCCATTCTCTAGCCAAAATTCTCCTACGAGGACACTTAAATCCCCCCCACACTCAGGTTGAAACTCCTGACACAGCATAACGCATAGTAGTACTGAAGATGAGTAATATTTCATATAATGTTTGTATGAGGCGGACAGAAGGTAAGAAGTCAGATTTTTAAAGCATTTTGCTCGAATTAAAAAAAAAAAAAAAAAAAAAAAACAAGACCAACAATGCCAAGTGTTCACACACACACAAAAAAAAAATTCAGGCAGCAACATATATCATCCACTGATATAAATTGGTGTAAATAAGCATCATCTTATCAGCTGTACCATTGTTCAAACTTCAAAAACCTGTAATTGGGGATTGTTGTGTTACGTTATATAAATTTATGTTTTGCTAAAGTCATCATTCTGTTTTTATTGGTGCAATAGCAGGTAGTACAAAAGGAAAATATTTTTGCACTTACAATATGCGAGCCTAGTATACGCTAAAGTATATAAATTATGTTTATTAAGGAGGAAGTATACTGAAGAGAATAAAAAAAAAAAGAGTAAAGAAGGATCACCGTAAAATTAACTGATTTATCTGATGCTCAACTAACAGTTGAACAACTTTGTTAAAATTTGCTGGGACCTCATTATAAATGTACGAAGATTGATTGCTACAAACATTGCTACTGACGTTGATCGTTACCATTACTACGATAATTATTTTTACGAGGTTACACATCAGCGATTTAGATCATTATAAATGCAAGTAAATTTAAATAAAACGCTTCCTCCATTAAACACAAGTACACATTGACTTGTATATATTGTTTATTTATTTATTTCAACCTAATATTCTCGTTCAATAATGAAAGGAGATATTAGCCATGGTACAAGAAAGGGCACTAGCAGGAACACTGATTATTATGCTTTGTTAGCAGCAATAAATTTCCTAAGTACATACGATGCAAAAATGATGCACACATGAATGTATGCACCGATACCGGATTAAGAGCATCGTAGTATATACAAAAAAAATATTATTAACTGAAAAGGTATGAAGACGTTTTTTGTTTATTTTTAAGAGTAACTGCAACACCAGATTGTGTGTAATAAACAAATAAAGAGATAAAAATAATCCGAGAAGAAACAATGATGTTCTTAAATAAAACCTATGTACTTCCTTCCTTAGAGCTCCTGAAGGATCTCCAATTTATTTTTTCGTAATTTCGTTAGTTATTGGTGCTTATAACAGAGAAATCATCTACATCAGCTTTGAGTATCTTTATATTCTTAATCAAATGAAATATCCTTTCGACAAGAATAGTAACATCCGCCATGTAGTTTTTTTTCCCCTTTCGACAAGAATAGTAACATCCGCCATGTAGTTTTTTTCGGGTTTTCAATTAATAAAACTAAAAAAAAATAAATCGAGGAAAGTTGCGGCTGACAAAAGGGAAATGACGAAAGAGGAAGAAGCTATGGGGTGTCAAATGGCGAAATCGTTTAGACCGAGTTTTTTGGGGATGGGTGCTCCATGCAAAGTAAAAATCGCCCATCTATATATCAAATATTCTTGAAATTATATTTTCTACACATCTGACTAAGTAGAGCAATACGATATTGCCTTACCTTATGTTTTTTTCTGAGTCGCTAAAAAGAATGAAGAAAAAATATTTCATCTTGACATCAAAATGTGATATCACTGTGCTCTTCAAGTATGACAGTGTGAGTTTATGACATGGTAGTCATGGGGAGAAACATATGGTTCTCATCAGACACGTTTCATTTGTTGATGTTGATGAAAGTATAGAAGAAAAAAATGTGAAGGAGGGGTATCTCTCGCACTGAGTATTTCTTTTCAGAAGCTTTTTTCCAAATAAAATGGAGCAGTCTGCGGCACTCTAATGTTAATTTACACTTTAGATATGACATCATAATAAGTATATTTAGGCTCTCATAGTTAAAGTATGGAAAAAACAGTACCTATTGAATATTTCAAGATTATATGCACTCATAATTTCACCCAACATTTCCTTTGCCTATTTTAGCTCAGCCATATTTAGGCCATTGCCAAAACCAGTCACAAATTTCTTTTTATAGTGTATTACTCTGACAGAACGCAGTAAATCACGTTAATGGGGGATGACTCCCTTGATCAACTAAGGGGAACAAGATACTTAATATTGTGTAGTTACCCCCAACGAGACACCGGATTTTCTTTTATGACAGACTCGTGGAAATTCTTTGGGTAACTTAGAAATTCAATGCAAATGGTGAAATGAAATATTGTCAAAAGGTGGTAACTCTGCAGCCGAACTAGGAATATTAACCCAAACTAAGTCACGTTTAACCACATATTAACATGCTCGTTAACCTAGCCATTTTGGGGGCGTTTACATACCACTTCCCACCACCTTTGGCATTCCCTTGAGTCGGGGTGACAGGGAGTTGTATATGCCCCAAACTTGTTTCCACTTAGGCCACTGGAAATAGAATCTTGTCCACTCTCTCCTGATCGGGTTCGGTGTTCGTTATAAGTCTAATACTCCCAATAATACTTGTGACTTCCCTTTTGTAACTTCACTCTATTTCAGTATTATATCAGTTGGTTATTATGAACACGTGGAATAACTATGCATTTAATGGAGTTACTTATACAAGTGAATTCCCTAGTCTCCTGACGAATCCAATTTCTCTCTCTTGAAGAATACGAAGAGTTGCAGACCCTTGTCTCGTATACTTCGTACGGTCATACGTAATTCAGTACGATTTTAAACTGAAATTACTCAAGATTATTCCGTTTCGCCCCGGCCTCTCCTGAATGTGCCGACCCAGCATAGAGCATAGTGGTGCCATTGTTTACAAGGCCTATAGATTATCACCCTTATGTCCCCGAGACAATTTGTCTATATTGCCTTGTAAAACACTAAAGGCTTATCCCCTTCATAGGATAAACACCACACCCGGATCCATGGTGTATAGCGGTCTTACCATGTCAGGATTATCTATAGATTACCATTCCAAGGCTACTTCCATAACTCTGGCCGTTGGCAGTAACAAATAAATGGAGAGAGAGAGAGAGAGAGAGAGAGAGAGAGAGAGAGAGAGAGAGAGAGAGAGAGAGAGAGAGAGAGAGAGAGAGAGAGAGAGAGAGAGAGAAAGAGAGAGAGAGAGAGGGGGGGAGGGAGGGAGGAGAGGAGAGGGAGGGAGGGAGGGAGAGAGAGAGAGAGAGGGGAGTTGGGGAGACAATGAGAATAAAAAAAAAAAAAAAAAAAATCCTGAAATCAATTCTGATATGTTCACAGAGGATAGCCATCTGCTATTTCTTTAACCACGCAATACCTGTTATAATGCCACAGACTTGGAACATCCAGTCATAGGGGGCCTTCGTCTAAACAGTTGGTTCCCAATCATTTCTATTTTATAATGACCCCAGTCAACTTCTGTTGCTGTTGCGTATCATATCAGAATTGACACATGCCATACCATCTCAGAAATGCCACACGTCATGCTACATGTCAGAATTGCCACATGTCATGCCGCATGTCAGAATTGCCGCATGCCATACTTGTCAGAATTGCCACATGTCAGTATCTCCACATGTCAGACTGAAAAGGGCGACAAACACCATGATAATAAATGATAATGACAAATAACACAAACAAGAGACCAAAAACAACAGTAATAAATACATCAACAACGACAAGCACCTCCAACTCTTTATCCAACCATACCACACACATATCAACATAGAACATAACCAACAACAATAACAATAATACCAAATCCAACAACAATAACAATAATACCAATTATAACAAAAATAGCAGACTAGACATAGCAGAAAACATAATAAAACCAACAGAATAGCGACCCCATTAAAAGCATAGGGAAAATCGCAGTCGTCCTTCAGCATCAGAGAGGAAACGGAGGCGAAGCTCGAGACTCAATATTATGTCCCTTTTCCTGCCGGTTCTCTAAGTGGATATGGTTTGTGGCGACTATTTTGATGTTTTGGTGGTCATTTATGCTTAGTTTTGAGGGATTGTTAAGGAAGTAGAGTGGAAGAAAGAGGGAGTGATAGGGTGTTGAGTGGAGTATGGAAAAAACATTTGTTATTTTCGTATTTTAGGCAATTGTTTTATGTCTGTTCGATTTTTTCTTTCTTAGGGTTTGTGCAATTTGTTTGGGTGTTCTGTAGAATACGAAGGGATATCAGTGTTAATTAAGCTCGAGCTAAAAGCTAAAATACGGGAAAAAGAATTATGGGGATTGATTACTCTTAAGACACCTCAATATCATATGCTAATTGACTACGCTATTATGTGATAATAAGTCACGCTTTATATGGTAATTTCTCATACTTTAAAGAGTTGGTTGTTGAAGTGCAGTCGTAATTTACCCAATAATTCAAGTACACTTCTAATTCAAAATGATTATGGTACAAAACGGTTTCCTTTTTTTTTTGTTTTCATAAAAGTGTATCTCGTTAGGGTACTCAAACTTTTACATATAATTTCATAATAGTAAAACAGAAGGTAAAGCTGATTGGTGAAATGAAATTATACAGCACATGAAATCAGTAGGTTATCTATGATGTCTTTGCTCTTAAGTATTTGGATTTCTAAAATGACGAAAAGCAATCATGAAGAAAACCAGTCTTAGATCACCATTTTTCATGCCCATTAATGTTTGGTTTCTCATCTCAAAGGAACCCCCCCCCCCCTTTTCTTCTTACTATTCTTACTCCTATTGCTATTGCTATCTCTTGCTATTCTTATTCTTGTTGCTATTACTATCGCTATGCCTATTCCTGGTCCTATTTTAGGCGGCTACTGAGAATAGGGCGGCACCATGCTGTGGGATGGGATGCCATGCTCATTTGACGGGAAATTGCAAGGGAAATCAGCAATGATATGTTTGTGGGTCTTTTTGATATCTTATTACACAGGTTAAAGTTATGTAATAGTGAGTGTCATTTTTGAGTCCTTTATTAAGATGCGATTGCTTATTTATTTTTTATGTTGTTTATTTTGAGCTTTTAAAACACTTACTAGAGAAGGTTTAACCTTATGCCAACTGGGGTGCCATGTGTAAGTTGCCATGACTGGGGGTGCCCTTGATGGGAGGGCCTGGGAAACATTGTCTTCACCTTGGCATACATGACTCGATACAGCTGAAACTCGGAAGCACTGAATGGATTTAGGCTGTAGCTGGCGCTTTCCGCAGTCTGTTTTCTTTATTTGTGGCATTGCTGTTTGTGTCTGCGGGTTATTTCTTGTACCAAGACTAAAACTATTAGTCCTCTACAAGAATATCTTCGATTCTCCCCCCTCCCCCCATTAGTGCATCCATACTGTAAAGATTGTGTGTGCTTAAGGATTGCTTGGCCTTAGTGCTTTCATTTATTCTGGTAGGATGGAACATGCACTTCTTTGGCAATATTACAGCCAGTGCAGCTTCTTGCAGCAGCCTGTCTTTCTACTTTAGTCATTATTGCATTGAATCACTCTTCTTGTTTGTCACAAGTTCCAAGATTCAGTGGTCTGTAATGCTAGATTTTTATTGGCTAGAAACAAAGGGTTTGCAGCTTATCTATCTTATCTATCTTTGTGTGTGTGTGTGTGTGTGTGTGTGTGTGTGTGTGTGTGTGTGTGTGTGTGTGTGTGTGTGTGTGTGTGTGTGTGTGTGTGTGTGTCTGTGTGTGTGTCTGTGTGTGTGTGTGTGTGTGTGTGTGTGTGTGTGTGTGTGTGTGTGTGTGTGTGTGTGTGTGTGTGTACATGCAATCATCATCATCATCATCATCATCATCATCATCATCATCATCATCATCATCATCATCATCATCATCATCATCATCATCATCATCATCATCATCATCATCATCATCATCAGACAGAATCGATCCACTATGACGTAGGCCTCTCCCAATCTTTTCATTTAATTTACTCTTAATTTCTTCTTAGTCTGTATGAGTTGCCTTAGGTATATATACTCATCCAATACCTCTAGCACTTCGCCTTGTACATGTATTTGTTGGAATTGAACTCTATTGTTGAACATGATCTTAGTCTTTTTCTTGTTCAATATTTATATATACATGTGTGTATATATATTTATACATACATACATACACATATGTAGGTAGGTAGGTAGGTGGGTGGGTAGGTAGGTAGGTAGGTAGGTAGGTAGGTAGGTAGGTAGGTAGGTAGGTAGGTAGGTAGGTAGGTAGGTGGGTGGGTGGGTGGGTGGGTGGGTGGGTGGGTGGGTAGAAATGCCAGGAAGCTTTATATTCTATAATTTCTTGATTTTATACAGAGGAAATCATTGTTCTATGGAATCTTGTAGTGAAGGTATGAATGGGAACAAATCTTTACAAAGTAAGAGATGTCATTGATATATTTCAGTTGCAAGTTTATAAAATCCTAATTGTTGTTGTTGTTGTTGTTGTTGTTGTTGTTGTTGTTGTTGTTGTTGTTGTTGTTGTTGTTGTTGTTGTTGTTGTTGTTGTTGTTGTTGTTGTTATCATTAACTTATTATTATTATTATTATTATTATTATTATTATTATTATTATTATTATTATTATTATTATTATTATTATTATCAACTTATTATTGTTATTATTATTATTATTATTATTATTATTATTATTATTATTATTATTATTATTATTATTATTATTATTATATTTTTGCAACTTTGTTTTTCAGTTGACAAACACATGTTCATTCCCAATCTGCCATTCCAGGACAAAGGAAGAAAACTTAACAGTAGAACAAAGAATCTGCCCCAATCTCTGTACAATGCTAACAGTGATGAGTCAGATACCTTGGAGGACCTCATGCAAATGCTGCTTGAGACGCAAAAATGCTTTACTGAGGTAAGTGTCATTTCATGTGTGTAAGTTTTATGTTATGTTAATGTTTGAAAGAAGAAGGAGGGGACAATAGGTGAGAAGGAGTGATGGGAGGGAGAGGGAGAGAGAATGGGAGAAAGGGAGAGGGAGAGAGAATGGGAGGAATGGAGAGGGAGAGAGAATGGGAGGAATGGAGAGGGAGAGAGAATGGGAGGAATGGAGAGGGAGAGAGAATGGGAGGAATGGAGAGGGAGAGAGAATGGGAGGAATGGAGAGGGAGAGAGAATGGGAGGAATGGAGAGGGAGAGAGAATGGGAGGAATGGAGAGGGAGAGAGAATGGGAGAGAGGGAGAGGGAGAGAGAGAGAATGGGAGGAAGGGAGAGGGAGAGAGAATGGAAGAAAGGGAGAGGGAGAGAGAATGGAAGAAAGGGAGAGGGAGAGAGAATGGAAGAAAGGGAGAGGGAGAGAGAATGGAAGAAAGGGAGAGGGAGAGAGAATGGAAGAAAGGGAGAGGGAGAGAGAATGGAAGAATGGGAGAGGGAGAGAAGGGAGAGAATGTGGGGGGGAGGGAGAGAGAGAGAGAATAGGAGAAAGGGAGAGGGAGAGAATGGAGAAGGGAGAGGGAGAGAGAATGGAGAAGGGAGAGGGAGAGAGACTAGGAGAAAGGGAGAGGGTGAGAGAGACTAGGAGAAAGGGAGGGGGAGAGAGAATGTGAGAAAGGGAGAGGGAGAGAGAATGTGAGAAAAGGAGAGGGAGAGAGAATGGGAGAAAGGGAAAGGGAGAGAGAATGGGAGAAAGGGAGAGGGAGAGAGAATGGGAGGAAGGGAGAGGGAGAGAGAATGGGAGGAAGGGAGAGGGAGAGAGAATGGGAGAAAGGGAGAGGGAGAGAGAATGGGAGGAAGGGAGAGGGAGAGAGAATGGGAGGAAGGGAGAGGGAGAGAGAATGGGAGGAAGGGAGAGGGAGAGAGAATGGGAGGAAGGGAGAGGGAGAGAGAATGGGAGGAAGGGAGAGGGAGAGAGAATGGGAGGAAGGGAGAGGGAGAGAGAATGGGAGGAAGGGAGAGGGAGAGAGAATGGGAGAAGGGAGAGGGAGAGAGAATGGGAGGAAGGGAGAGGGAGAGAGAATGGGAGGAAGGGAGAGGGAGAGAGAATGGGAGGAAGGGAGAGGGAGAGAGAATGGGAGGAAGGGAGAGGGAGAGAGAATGGGAGGAAGGGAGAGGGAGAGAGAATGGGAGGAAGGGAGAGGGAGAGAGAATGGGAGGAAGGGAGAGGGAGAGAGAATGGGAGGAAGGGAGAGGGAGAGAGAATGGGAGGAAGGGAGAGGGAGAGAGAATGGGAGGAAGGGAGAGGGAGAGAGAATGGGAGGAAGGGAGAGGGAGAGAGAATGGGAGGAAGGGAGAGGGAGAGAGAATGGGAGGAAGGGAGAGGGAGAGAGAATGGGAGGAAGGGAGAGGGAGAGAGAATGGGAGGAAGGGAGAGGGAGAGAGAATGGGAGGAAGGGAGAGGGAGAGAGAATGGGAGGAAGGGAGAGGGAGAGAGAATGGGAGGAAGGGAGAGGGAGAGAGAATGGGAGGAAGGGAGAGGGAGAGAGAATGGGAGGAAGGGAGAGGGAGAGAGAATGGGAGGAAGGGAGAGGGAGAGAGAATGGGAGGAAGGGAGAGGGAGAGAGAATGGGAGGAAGGGAGAGGGAGAGAGAATGGGAGGAAGGGAGAGGGAGAGAGAATGGGAGGAAGGGAGAGGGAGAGAGAATGGGAGGAAGGGAGAGGGAGAGAGAATGGGAGGAAGGGAGAGGGAGAGAGAATGGGAGGAAGGGAGAGGGAGAGAGAATGGGAGAAGGGAGAGGGAGAGGGAGAGAGAATGGGAGAAAGGGAGAGGGAGAGGGAGAGAGAATGGGAGAGAGGGAGAGGGAGAGAGAATGGGAGAAAGGGAGAGGGAGAGGGAGAGAGAATGGGAGAAAGGGAGAGGGAGAGGGAGAGAGAATGGGAGAAAGGGAGAGGGAGAGGGAGAGAGAATGGGAGAAAGGGAGAGGGAGAGGGAGAGAGAATGGGAGAAAGGGAGAGGGAGAGAGAATGGGAGAAAGGGAGAGGGAGAGAGAATGGGAGAAAGGGAGAGGGAGAGGGAGAGAGAATGGGAGAAAGGGAGAGGGAGAGGGAGAGAGAATGGGAGAAAGGGAGAGGGAGAGGGAGAGAGAATGGGAGAAAGGGAGAGGGAGAGAGAATGGGAGAAAGGGAGAGGGAGAGGGAGAGAGAATGGGAGAAAGGGAAAGGGAGAGGGAGAGAGAATGGGAGAAAGGGAGAGGGAGAGAGAGAGAGAATGGGAGAAAGGGAGAGGGAGAGAGAGAGAATGGGAGAAAGGGAGAGGGAGAGAGAGAGAGAATGGGAGAAAGGGAGAGGGAGAGAGAGAGAGAATGGGAGAAAGGGAGAGGGAGAGAGAGAGAGAAAGGGAGAAAGGGAGAGGGAGAGAGAGAGAGAATGGGAGAAAGGGAGAGGGAGAGAGAGAGAGAATGGGAGAAAGGGAGAGGGAGAGAGAGAGAGAATGGGAGAAAGGGAGAGGGAGAGAGAGAGAGAATGGGAGAAAGGGAGAGGGAGAGAGAGAGAGAATGGGAGAAAGGGAGAGGGAGAGAGAGAGAGAATGGGAGAAAGGGAGAGGGAGAGAGAGAGAGAATGGGAGAAAGGGAGAGGGAGAGAGAATGGGAGAAAGGGAGAGGGAGAGAGAATGGGAGAAAGGGAGAGGGAGAGAGAATGGGAGAAAGGGAGAGGGAGAGAGAATGGGAGAAAGGGAGAGGGAGAGAGAATGGGAGAAAGGGAGAGGGAGAGAGAATGGGAGAAAGGGAGAGGGAGAGAGAATGGGAGAAAGGGAGAGGGAGAGAGAATGGGAGAAAGGGAGAGGGAGAGAGAATGTGAGAAGAGGGAGAAGGGGGGCATCAATTTTGTTTTGCCTGTTTTGAGGAAAGGTGGGATTAATCTTCATTTTTTTTTATTTCTCTCGTACAATAAGCTGGAAAGCATTTTTAACAAAGACACAAACTCTCTTATCTTTTCAGCTTAGGAAACGGGTGTTGAAAGTCGCCCATGTGAACACGCCTCAGAAAAGGTTGGAGAGCACTGTTCTGCCTCACAGTTTAGAGGATGATGAGGTGACTATTTGCGCAATCTTTTATTTCCTCTTTGATTTCACGCTTTGGTGTACTTTAATGTATATGAGGGTGATTCTGAAACGGATTCTAAAACATTGGCACAAAGTGAGGATAATTTCTGTTGTTAAGTGTACTGGGTTACAAGTTACTAAGTGTTTTTCTATATGATTATTTGTGATGAGATAATTGCGTAGGGATGCGCCTTTTCCATACTGGTTATTTGGCTTGAAGCACATAATCTGAGGTAGTAGGAAGGCCAGTGAGATGCTACCATGTAGATGAATAGAAGGTGAATTACCAGTGGTGATGAGGGGCATTTTGTTTGTGGTAAATACTGTTGTGTGATAGGCTGTTTTTTTTTTTTCTTTTGAGAATTTGGTAATAGAAACCAATATGATCTTTGCTTATAACACTTGACATAAAGAGATGGATAGAGGTACAGATTACTTGTTTCTGTAGCTTCCAATTAAGAATTGCCATTCTAATTGAGAAGATCAATTTGATAGTAGGATTTAGACCACTATCCTTCTAATGCTGGTGTCCCACAGGAGGATGAATATCAGCCAGATTTCCTAGAACATACTCCAAGCTTCTATGAGGATGCCAGTGATGTAACCAGTAGATCTAATAATGTAAGGTATGTAGTTTTCTTATCAATTTTTTTTTTATCCAATTTTCAGGTAATGCTTTGTGGAATTGAATTCTTCTTTATGCAGCATGAGGTGGTAGATTATACAGATCTTCTGTTTACTGAATTATGAACTTTTTAAAATTGATCAACATTAGAAATTCTTTTGGTTAAGGGTAATCATGAAAACGTGTATGGAAGAGGCATTCATTACAATATATTGAAATACGTATTTATTCCATTCTAACGCCTTATATATATTTATATCTGATTATTGTTATAATTGATTTCCTTCTTTCAGAACCTCTATTCCCACACCAGAAATCAGGAAGGTGAAAATGCTATTACAGGCAGCCAAAGAGGAAAACGATGAAATTAATGACAAGATCCGGCAGAGAAAGATGATGGTAAATTTTGTACGCCCATTCTGTCTGTAAAATGGTATAAAGCAATAAAAGATATTGTATATAATTCTAGACATATGTAAATATAATCATTAAGCTTGAGCTATTTAGAAAGAAAGAAAGAAAGAGAAAAAAAAAGCTGGGAGGATAAATCAAAGTACTTTAAAATCTATTGTTAGTTGCCAGTTATTCCTCTCCTGAGATAGAATGTACTGAAGTTCAGTCTGTATCTCAAAGTCTGTGAAGTTTAATGAGAATAAGTCTCCATTTTCATAATTTCATTGTTTTGTCAATGTCTTCTCTTTTCTTTTTCTTTGCTTCTTTATTATTATTATTTTTTATAGGTTGCTATTGCAGAGAAGCAGATGGCAGCAGACTCATGTGCAAAGAAAAGAAGTAAGGAAAGTGAGTTGAGCCTTTATATCCGGTTCTCTATAATCAAAAACAACCTATGTAAATTCTTTTTTTTATTCAACCTTTTATTTATTGAAGAATTACACAAAATCACTGAAGGTATTAGCAGTCAGTTACCAATGAACCATAATTGATTTTTCCTTGTACATATCCCCTTTTGTGTGAATTTATTTTATTGGTATTATCTTTTTAAATCTTTTGAGGTGTGTATATATAAGCAAATAGATTACTCTAGAGTCAGGAAAATGAGTTGTTTTCTACATATAATATAAACACACTATTAACCTATTGGATCCGGTTGCCTGACAGCAATCACGGCACCAAAAATCTGGGCATTAGGCTAATGTGAGTGGCAGTTCTGCCCAGCGGTTGCTTGTGGGCCGGGCGCATACAAGCGTGTGTGCGGTGACAAGACTCTATGCCTCCTGTTTACAGTTATTTACAGTCTTTATGTATAGGCATTTCTAGCCTTTTTGGCAATTTTCCAATGTCCATATTTGCCATTTGATTTGCAATATCCAGAGTCTCCCCCCCCCTTGCACAGACTCCAATTATCTCTCAAGGTAGTCTACAAGTACAAGAAAATGTGACACTATATAACTTTTTTTTTATACGTAATATTTAATTTTCTGTAAAACAATCTGCATTGCTGCTCATGGCACCAGGAATATGGTGCTAAGCATAGAAGTGGCTTCCTCCATAAAGCCGTTGCTCTTCCAGTCACCGCTCACGAACATTGCATTCCATACTCATACATCGATGGGAATAATGCAAAATTGCCAAATGAGTAAAATAAATTTCCCAATAGATTTATGCATTTGTGATGAGTTTTTTTCCATCACCCCGACCTCCAGCTGTAGTGCTGACGTTGGCAGTTTTGAGCCACCTGGCTTATTGCCAGATTTTCCCTTGACAGCATGTTCATGTCTCCCGCCCCTCGACCCAGATTTTTTCATGACATGGTCACATCACCTGTATGCTATAAGCATAATGTGGTAGTCTGTTGTACACATATATGGTCCTGGAATACTTTAGCACATGGAATTCTACTGTACACCCTACCATACAGACATGGATATAAAACAAGGCAAATGGAAAAGGAGAGAAAGAAAGACAGACAGACACAGAGCGAGGGAAACCGAGACAAAAACAGACACTGTATGGTGTCATATTACTTCCTAACTTGGTCATAAATGTTAGGGTGTTGGTCATTCTTGTTATTGGTTTATGCTTTACAGCCTTTTATATAAAGGGTGAGATAACCTTAGGAGTGTGATTTAAAAGATAATATTGATGGAATTGCAGGTATTGAGCAAGGGAGGATCAAGGAAAGTACAAATAAGGAAAGTTGGAAGCATGACATGTACCACCAGATCTATGATAAGCATTCCAGACTTGAAGATCTGCCTGCAAGCAACACCAGAGCAGAAGAGCAAGAAGAGAGCCCTCTGGGGAATCCTGAATATGAAAAACCTGTTCATGATATTTTTATGTATCCTGTAGAAAAGGCTCATGTTGGATCCGTAAGCATGGATAGAGATCTGGTATCCAGAAGTGATGGAAATATGAATTTGGTAGTTCGTCTAGGGATGCAGACAGAGCTATTCAGTGAACAGGATGCAGATGAGCTACCAAGCCCATTGAGGAGACCTCTTGTAGATGTCGACTCAAGCTATGTGGAAGATACAAACTCAGAGTTAAGTACTTCCCTTCAGTCGCCTGAAGCCAGCAAACCTCCTGAAACTTTGCCCACACCTCCCTCTTCTGAAAAGATGTCAGGAAAGTATGTGTTACGAAGACCAAATCCAAACACTAAAATTCCCCTTCGGAGGCCAAAGTGTGCCCCTTCAGCTTTACTCTTGGTAAGGTTTTGACTATTTTTACATATTCATTGTTAAAAAATAGTGCATAATAAAAATTGAATGGAAAAAAACTACCTCTCTGCTAAAACAAGACTATTAGAAAACCAAGACCATTTCAGAATCCAGTCTTGCCTTTCAAATAATGTTTGTTTTTGCTATTTTAAATGGAAACTGGGAAAGGTTTAGTAATTCATGGAAATGTATAGATACATGTAAATATTTGAGGCAATACAAAAGAGAGTAGAAAAAAAGTAATCCTGAAAGTAAAGTAACTGGAAAGACAGGAGATTTATGTAAGCAAGTCTGATTTTTTTTTTTTGTAAAGTTTTCTTTCACTCTGATGTAGATTTTTATCTTTTCTGATGCCAGATTTGTTTAGGTATTTATTTACTTGAATAATTGTTAAATTGATTCAATGGTAATTTACATATCTTCCAATAGATTCAGCCATTCTTTTCCTGTATTTATATATGAAGAAATTTAGTAATCAGTGTTGCTAATAATTTACTTATCATTGGCAGCCGGCACGAGAAATCTTGATTGAAAAACCGGGCAAGACTTCCGGTCCTCCTTCCAGCAACGGATCTCGGGAAATGAAAAAGCATGATAGCAATAGTGAGAGTCAGTTGACAAGGACCTGCTACCCTGGAGAAGCCATTGAACATGAATTTAATTCAGGTTTGTCCTTTATTATTTTTGCTCTTTTTTATTCTTTCTTATTATTTTCCTCGTCATCATTATTTTTTATCAAGTCTCACTATCACTATTTTCATCATCACTTGCCATTATTGTTATTATTATTTTTTATCCACATCATTATTACTTAATCCAGTTTAGTTTTACTTTTCTTTTCTTTTCTTTTTTTTTCTTTTTCTTTTCTTTCTCTACTAACTAAATAGAAATGACTGAAGTGCAGCTTTCATCTCCCATTCTGTGAAAGAGCTATTATGACTCAGTCCATATCTCTTACCAGCAGATGTGAATGGGGAAATTAGCAAAAGGGAAGAATCATATGGTAAGTGAACCTCCAGATTGGATCATTTTGAAATGCCTATGTCACAGAGCTCAATCCAGGGCGTTGGTCATCTGAAGTTAATATGAGAGAGCCAGACTGACACAGACAGACAGAGATAGACACAGACAGAGATAGACAGACAGACAGAGATAGACAGACAGACAGAGATAGACAGACAGACAGAGATAGACAGACATACAGAGATAGACAGACAGACAGAGATAGACAGAGACAGACAGAGATAGACAGAGACAGACAGAGATAGACAGACAGACAGAGATAGACAGATAGAGACAGACAGACAGATAGAGACAGACAGACAGATAGAGACAGACAGACACAGATAGAGACAGACAGACACAGATAGAGACAGACAGACACAGATAGAGACAGACAGACACAGATAGAAACAGACAGACACAGATAGAGACAGACAGACACAGATAGAGACAGACCGACACAGATAGAGACAGACCGACACAGATAGAGACAGACCGACACAGATAGAGACAGACCGACACAGATAGAGACAGACCGACACAGATAGAGACAGACCGACACAGATAGAGACAGACCGACACAGATAGAGACAGACCGACACAGATAGAGACAGACCGACACAGATAGAGACAGACCGACACAGATAGAGACAGACCGACACAGATGAGACAGACCGACACAGATAGAGACAGACCGACACAGATAGAGACAGACCGACACAGATAGAGACAGACCGACACAGATAGAGACAGACCGACACAGATAGAGACAGACCGACACAGATAGAGACAGACCGACACAGACAGAGACAGACCGACACAGACAGAGACAGACCGACACAGACAGAGACAGACCGACACAGACAGAGACAGACCGACACAGACAGAGACAGACCGACACAGACAGAGACAGACCGACACAGACAGAGACAGACCGACACAGACAGAGACAGACCGACACAGACAGAGACAGACCGACACAGACAGAGACAGACAGACAGAGACAGACAGACAGAGACAGACAGACAGAGACAGACAGACAGAGACAGACAGACAGATAGAGACAGACAGATAGAGACAGACAGACAGACAGAGACATTGAGAGATTTTGTGAATTTGCAATTAGTAGCCAAAAACTAAAAGAATTTTTTTCTGTTGATGGTACAGAAGTCTGTAAAACTGTGGGGAGGCCTTCCAGGAATACAGCAAGTATGAGGAATGGACTTACTCAAATACAGGCCAGATTAATCCAGGTAATTTTTTGGTTATGTGGCATACATTGTGGCAAGTAGTATGCTTGCAGCTTATTGCCAAGGCTATCCTGCTAAGAACTGAACTAGATAAGGGGTGGAATTTGATATGGCCTTTAGTTTTTTTCCACAGCTACTTATTTATAGTTCTTTTGATATGTTGTTCATCCAATCATCAAATTTTCTTTTAAATGCTCCTTCAGTGCAAAGAGTTCAGTTTCTGTTATGCATTGGCACATTGTTTGACATGTTTAGACATTAGCCTGTTGGATCTGGGTGCTTCATGGCTTGCGTGTGGACTAAAATTCGGGCACCAGGCTGACTTTCCTGGGTGCTTGTCTTGTAGGCCCTGCCCACGCAAACACTCCTCTATGCCATGTTATTTACTCTTGTTCTGTTTATGCTGTTTTGCCATTTTCTGCCAGATGGTTTATGCTGCCCTTGTTTACTGGTGGCAATTTGCAATAACCCCTTCCTAAAGGTCCACTGTGTTCATTATCCCTCCAAATATTGCCAAGACATCCCTGTAACTTGCCACTCAGCCAAATTTTTCCATGATATGACATCCCTGTCATCCAGATCCAATGGGATAATAAAGAAACTTTTACTTTGTATTTTCCTAAAAAATATTGAGCACTTTTCCTATTGTGATAGCACATACTTTCTACTTTGGGTGGATACACCTATAGTGAAGCACCTGTCCCTCTGTCTTATTTAATCTTTCGCACTAGTTATGTCCTGCTGTGCTGTCCGATTTCCAGGTGAAAGCTCACTTAACCCTGTTCCAGTAATATATTTTAAGCATGATTTTGATTTCATACTTACCCGTGGAACTAGCTTTGCATGTTGCTCAAAACTTTCCTTTAATGATCACCTGACTAGTAGAATGCCTGAGGCTCATGGTATTGCTCATAAACAGAGGTGGATATTTTGTGATTTATTTATTTGTATATTTATTTATTTTTTAAAGAATAATTAATGTAGTTCCTTTTTAAGCCTTTGTTGGGTTACGTTGAATTACTATTTAATGAGAAGAACGGAGGTGTCATTTATCAAGTCATATGTAGTGAGTGTAGAATAGTAATGATATTCTGTTGTGATATTTTAATGATTCAAAATTAAGTTCTGCTCAAGAATGAAAGTTGATTCTAGATTTTTTTTTCTTTTTACAGATGAGTAATAGTGGTTTACCAGTTGCAAGACATAAAGTTATAAAATGTGATACAGCAGGGTATAGAAATGTAGAAACGAATGAGGAAGAGGTGATAGTGGAGGAAGAGGAGATAGTCGAGGAAGAGGTAGTGGAGGAAGAAGAGGAAGAGGTAGTGGAGGAGGAAGAGGAGGTTGTGGTGGAAGAAGAAGAACTAGTGGAAGAGGAGTTGGTAGTGGAGGAGGAAAAGCTGGAAAGGAATGTTTTTTATACTTCTAACAATGATGGCAAGAAACCTGGTCAGTTTTAAGGAGTCTTTGTTTTTATTCCATTTTAAGATGTCATGTACATGACTATTTATTAATTGTAACTTAATGTTTATTTATGCATAGAGAAAAGTGGGCATAATATACCAAAACTTTCACTCGTAACTATTTGAAAATCTAAACTTATCATGTACTGTGTTTTTCTTTTTAAACTTGTGCTGTCTTTGTTAGCACATAAATACAGCATAAATATTATAGATGTCTTCAGATGTTGCTTATTTCTTATTTTAGCAGATGTAGCAGATGTGCCAGAATTGGTATATGATAATCCAAGGTATTGGATTGCTATTAGTATTGACATATTTTATTGAGGTTCTTCTTGTTCATTGTTTTTATCCTTGATTTTAGGTGATGGTACCATCTCTCCTTCATCTGTGTTATTCCTCGCGAACTACCTTGAGGCTAAGATCGTATTCAAAGCATATGCTCTAAGAAATGATCCTCTAAACAAACCAATTGGTATTGCTCAGTTGGAGAGGTGAGTCTGATTTCAACTTGTTTCTTATGACTACTTTTGGCAGTTATTATAAAGACAGTGATTATGACTGTAACTCTTCTCTTGTGTGTTTGTGTATCCATGTGTGTCTGGATGTGTGTACAAAGATCATGATATTTATCTTTTACAACTCTTGAGAGGAGTAGAATGATGTAAGTAGTTTGTCAATGCAGAGCAAACCTGATTTTTTTTAGCTTTTGATTTTTTTTTTTTTTTTTTTTTTTTTTTTTTTTTTTTCATATGAATTGTACAAACATGGTATTGAAGAAATAAAGTTTTGTCTGGAGTTTATGGAATATTCACCTAAAGAAAGTTCACATATTGATTGACTTAGAGAGAAGGAAAGAAAGAGAGAGAGAGAGAGAGGAGGAGAGAACAAAGATATGCATTCTAGATGTGAGAAAGTGAGGTTTAAGGAGAAAGAATTGGTAGTGAGAGAACATGCATGGTAGAGAGTCTCATTGAGAAGGAAAGAGAGAGAGAGAGAGAGAGAGAGAGAGAGAGAGAGAGAGAGAGAGAGAGAGAGAGAGAGAGAGAGAGAGAGAGAGAGAGAAAGAGAAAGAGAAAGAGAAAGAGAAAGAGAGAAAATGATGCTTAAAAAAGAAAGTCTTGCTTGCAGTGGCCATATTATCGTGGCAGACACCTTCAACAACCGCATGATGCTGTTTGACGGGACGGGGAAGGTTCTTGGCCCTTTCTATTCTTCCTCCTCCTTGTACCATCCTTCTGCTGTGGTGGAGCTTGAGGATGGTGGCTTTGCTGTCAAGGACAACAACAGCATTACAGTCTTTTCATCAGAGTTTGAGTGCTGCAAAGTCATTGCAAAGGGAAAGTTGAGTCGACCTTATGGTGAGTTATTTATTTATTTTTTTTATATATTTACTTTTAAAATTTTCTGTTGATTTTCTTTATGTAATCAAATAATCACAAAGTTAAGAGAGGCTTTATTTTGTGCATTTTTGCCCCTGTCAGGTCTGACCGTGAATGCAGAGGGCCTGTTAGTGACTGTTGAGACTAGCCTGACTGGCAGTCTTAACATCGTCACCCTGAATCCAGTCTCAGGCAGTGTTGAGTCAAGGGTGAAAGTGGACTTGGGTCTGAGCAGCCATGCCAAGAGTGAGAGCAAACCACGCTTCATTGCCTGGCAGGGAGAATGCAGGCTCTTGGTAGTAGATCTCGGTGGGTGTTCGAGGGATTTGGCTGGAGTTAGTGTGCATAGTTGAGACAATTCCTTTCCTTGTCCTTACAATATTCAGCTTATGCTTAATGTTTCACCTGCTTATGCCTAATAGATTTTCACCTGCAGGCCTGAACTGCGTCTACATTATAGATGCCTTTGCTGGGGTGGTTCTAAAGAGGTTTGGGGAGTATGGCCAAGGCCGAGACCAGATGCATGACCCGTCTGGCATAGTCTGTGATGGGGATGGCTTCATTCTCCTAGGGGACAGCCGAAACCATCGTGTGCTGGTTGGTATTTGCTAGTTTGGTGGTACTGATTGAATAAATGACAGTTGTAGGAGTATCTTCAGAGGAATCTAAGTTATCTTATCAATTTATGTAAGTCTAGATATATTTATTTATCTATATCAGTATCAGTCTGTTTGTCTGTTTCTGTCTGTCTGTATATGTATTTGACTGTATCTATCTATCTATCTGTCTATATTCCCTTACTGATGGGCCACAGCTACCGGTGTCTTAACAAACCACTCAGTCTGTGGGGTACAGCTGTATCAGCAATGTGTCAGAGTGCTTGGAGTGGGACACTTGGCTTGATGTAGTAGACTCCTGTGCCCAAAGTCTGCTCTTTGCTATTAATCTCCAGAGTGTAGAATTTTCATTTATTGTCTTCATGCGTCAGTGTTGGGATATATAATGTTGCAATGTATTGACAGATAACTACCCTCCATTACAAGGGCTCAAATCTCTGCGAGGAATGAGCACCACCCAACAAAAGAATTGTCCAACTAGGATCACACTATCCTTGTATAAATTGCTTATCTACTCCAACCAGAGCAGTAAGAAGGAAGTTTTACAGACATTTCCCATGGGTGCTTTGGTGGAAATGATTCAGAAATTCAGATACAATGTCAGATAAGGTTTCTATGCAAGATGGAATAATGCAGTTACACATTGCTATTGATAGACAACTACCCTCCATGACAGGAGTGCAAAGGAAATAAAGGAAGTAGACAAAATAAGGTGAAAAGAAGAAAAATAGAGTGAAAGATGAAGTGGAGGATGTAGGCTTTCAGACAGTAAGAGACAGTCAAAGAGAGAAGAAGAAATGCAAGCAAGGAAAGGGTGCTTCATGAAGGAGGCAAGGTAGAAGACTATGAAGAGGAAGAAAGGCATTTCCCTTTTACACCCTTACATGTAGAGGGTTTAACAGTGCGAGACGAAAAGACAAAACAAAGACGAGTATAAGGAATAACTCGTAAGCTATATGATCTGAAGCAGAAAAGCAGGATATTATTATTATTATTATTTTTTAAATTTTGCAGAGGTTTTGCCTGTGAAATATCCATGGCATGCCATAATAAGTTCAATTTTATTATTTAATTTTTTTTTCGAGATGGTTATCAAATTTTACCAAGGATTTTTTTTTTTCCTGTCTTTTCTTTCCTTCTTTCCAGTTACCCAAGTACCCCATTCTTTCACATTGTATTTCACACTTCTAGGTATGCTACTTCAAAAATTATAATAGAAACTAGTTGAAACTGTGATATCCTGTAAGCAATGATACACTTGAGTGCAATAAATTTTTATTAACATGGGAACTATTTTGAGGTTTTTTAAAACCTGGTACTTCTTGCCCCAGTTGATACTGTATGATCAGATGTGAAATACTTGAATAATTTAATCCCTTAATTTTTGTAGTAGTCAGACACATTCCCATACAGTCCATTCACATGTTTATGATTATCATCATCTGAGTTTCATTGTTTTCGTGACTAACATCCACACACACTTAGATTTTTGTCTCCCCCAGATCTATGACCCCGATGGTCAGTACATCTCAGTCTTGGAAGTGGATGTACCTGTTCGCCGTCCCTCCGGCTTGTACCTGACCTCGAATGGTAATCTGCTCATACTTAACTACTGGGAGAACTCTGTGGCGGCTTATCGCTTTCAGGAGATTGGGGATAGTTCTTCTGTTTAAGGAGGAAGAGGAGGAAGATAATGGTGATCTTGAAGAGGAGGAGGAGGAGGAGAAAGAAGAGGAAGAAAAAAAAGAAAAAGAGAAAAAGGATGAGACTTGTAACAGTCTGTATGTTTTTTTTTTTGGTTTTGTTTTTTTACTTTTTTGTATATGAAGCATTAGAGGTAATTTTGTTGGTTACAGCAATTTAGACTTATGATATTTTGTTTTGGCTTAGAGTTTGTGGTTGGTTAATTTTTATGTATGAAGTTGAGCAACATTGATTCTTTTGTTAGGTTGTTTTGTTTATAGTTTTGTTAAAGGAAGATTCATTCTTTGTCAGATACTCTGTAATACCAAAGGTGTAGTGATTATATGTTTTACTTCTTCTTGTTTGTTTTGCTTGAGTTGTAACACATTTATCAATTTATTTATTGCAAATGCAAAGTAAAGATGTTTACTTTTCAGAGAAAAAGGACTTTTTTTTATTGTTTCAAACTACCTATAGTTATGTAGCAGTTTTTGGTTTTGTTATGTGTTAACATTGTGAAACTTTTGTTATCAAAATTGTGATGTTTTAAAATAAATTTAGTACAAAATCTTTATTAAGTATTTTTGTCAAGGGGTTAAACCTTATTTGCAAGAATGTTCTCTCTGTGGATTTCCTTAAGAGTCCTATGGTTAATAATAGTGTTATGTCCCATTTCAGTCTCTTGGTGGAAATTGTAGATTTATTGGTAATTCTGCCCCATAATTTATTTGGCTTGGTAGTGTCTGGTTAACACATTACTAATATAAACTGCTGCTCCTGTGTTGTATGTCAGGTTGTCCATGACATCATTAACGTCAAAAGAAAGTCTTACTCAGTATGTGTAAGTATATTTTCACATCAGTAATTACTCCAGTCTACTTCTGGTTCATATTTCATTGAGTATTACACCCTCTTTTCTTGCAGGAAATCACTATAAACAAAGAGTACAGTGCATAAGTGAGAGATGCTTTCTATTATCAATTGCGGTTGTCAGTGGTTGTTTTCGTGCTCCTTAGGGTCAGCTGAGGTGAGCATTTGTGCAGTAGACAATGTTCTTTAGATATTGATAAGTTTGCACATATATACCATAGCATTTGCCATAACCTAGTTTGAAAATTTCTTCTTAGGATACTCCATATATACTACCATATCATTTAATCTATGGCACTATTGATGTACCCATCTTGTAGCCCATGCTGTTAGGATTAATCTCTTTAGTACATTTAAGTATCTGTTATTCTGACTAACCTGTCTTAAGAGTTGGGATCATATTCATTTTAGAAAGAGATCATCTTGTAGAGTTTTTTGATGGTGTATGATTGCTACTTGACATAGAAATATGTGGGAGATATTTGCAATTCTTATTATTCCCTATATATTTTTTTAAATTCATATTTTCATTTATATGTCGTTTTCCTCCCATTCCTTCCTGTTCCCTCCTCCCTGCCTCTTCTCCTGACCCTTTCTGTTCGCTCTTCTCTCCCTCTTCTGTCATTCCTACCTGTATCTTCTCCCCCCCCCCTTTTCTCTTCCTGTTCATCCCTGCATGTTTCCTCTTCTCTCCCTCTTCTTTTTTTCCCTTCTATCCTTGCCTGTTTCCTTTCCCTTCCTCTTCTCTTTTCCCTTCCTGTGCCCTCTTTCCTCCGTCTCTCTTTGCTTCTCCTTCCTCCCTCCCCTTTTTCTTCTTTCTCCCTTCTCCCTTCCTCTTTCTGTCTCCCTCCCTCTTTCTTTCTCCTTCCTCCCTCCCTCTTTCCTTCTCCCTCCTCCCTCCCTTTCCTTCTTTCCTCCCTCCCTCTTTCTTTCTCCCTCCTCCCTCCCTCTTCCTTCTCCCCTTCTCCCTCCTCCTTCCCTCTTTCCTTCCTCCCTCCCTTTCCTTCTTTCCTCCCTCCCTCTTTCCTTCCTCCCTCCCTTTCCTTCTTTCCTCCCTCCCTCCTTCCTTCTCCCTCCCTCTTTCTTTCTCCTTCCTCCCTCCCTTTTTCCTTCTTTTTCTCTCCTCCTTCCCTCTTTCCTTCTCCTCCTCCTTCCCTCTTTCCTTCTCCCTCCCTCTTTCCTTCCCCCTATTCCCTCCCTCTTTCCTTCTCCCTCCTCCCTCCTCCCTTCTTCTCCCCTTCTCCTCCTCCCTCCCTCCTTCACCCTCTTCCTTCTCCCCTTCTCCCTCCTCCCTCCTCCCTTCTTCTCCCCTTCTCCCTCCTCCTCCCTCTTTCCTTCTCCTCCTCCTTCCTTCTTCCTTCTCCCTCTCCCTCCCTTTCCTTCTTTCCTCCCTCTCTCCTTGCTTCTCCTTCCTCCCTCCCCTTTTTCTTCTTTCTCCCTTCTCCCTCCCTCTTTCTTTCTCCCTCTTCTCTCTTTCCTTCTCCCTCCTCCCTCCCTTTCCTTCTTTCCTCCCTCTTTCTTTGCTTCTCCTTCCTCCCTCCCTTTTTCCTTCTTTTTCTCTCCTCCTTCTCTCTTTCTGTCTCCTTCCTCCTGCCCTCTTCCCATCTCCCTCCTCCCTCCTCTTTCCTTCTCCCTCCTCCCTCTCTCTTTCCCTCTTCCTCCTCCCTCTCTCTTTCCCTCTTCCTCCTCCCTCTCTCTTTCCCCTCTTCCTCCCTCCCTCTCTCCTCCTTCACCCTCTTCCTTCTCCCTCCTCCTTCCCTCTTTCCTTCTCCCTCCTCCTTCCCCTCTTCCTTCTCCCCTTCTCCCTCCTCCTCCCTCTTTCCTTCCTCCCTCCTCCTTCCCTCTTTCTTCTCCCTCCTCCCTCCCTTTCCTTCTTTCCTCCCTCTCTCTTTGCTTCTCCTTCCTCCCTCCCTTTTTCCTTCTTTTTCTCTCCTCCTTCCCTCTTTCTTCTCCCTCCTCCTTCCTCTTTCCTTCTCCCTCCTCCCTCCCTCTTTCTTTCTCCCTCCTCCCTCTCTCCCTCCTTCCCTCTTTCCTTCCCCCTATTCCCTCCCTCTTTCCTTCTCCCTCCTCCCTCCTCCCTTCTTCTCCCCTTCTCCCTCCTCCCTCCTCCCTCCCTCTTTCCTTCTCCTCCTCCTTCCCCTCTTCCTTCTCCCCTTCTCCCTCCTCCCTCTCTCTTTCCTTCTCCCTCCTCCTCCCTCTTTCTTTCCCTCTCCCTCCCTTTCCTTCTTTCCTCCCTCTCTCTTTCCTTCTCCCTCCTCCTTCCCTCTTTCCTTCTCCCTCCTCCTTCCCTCTTTCCTTCTCCCTCCTCCTTCCCTCTTTCCTTCTCCCTCCTCCTTCCCTCTTTCCTTCTCCTCCTCCTTCCCTCTTTCCTTCTTTCCTCCCTCTCTCTTTCCCTCTTCCTCCTCCCTCCCTCTTTCCTTCCCCCTATTCCCTCCCTCTTTCCTTCCCCCTATTCCCTCCCTCTTTCCTTCTCCCTCCCTCTTTCCTTCTCCCTCCTCCTTCCTCTTTCCTTCTCCTCCTCCTTCCCCTCTTCCTTCTCCCCTTCTCCCTCCTCCTTCCTCTTTCCTTCTCCTTCCCCCTACCTCTTTCTCTTTCCATCTCCCTCCTCCCTCCTCCCTCCTCCCTCCCTCTTTCCTTCCTCCCTCCCTCTTTCTTTCTCCCCCCCCCCTCTCTCCCTCCTTCACCCTCTTTTTTCCTCCCCCCCCTCTCTCCTTCCTTCACCCTCTTTTTTTCTCCCCCCCCCTCTCTCCCTCTTTCATCCTCTTTCTTTCTCCTCCCCCCCCTCTCCCTCCACCCTCTTTCTTTCTCCTCCCCCCCCTCTCCCTCCTTCACATTCTTTCTTTCTCCTTCCTCCCTTTCTCCCTCCTTCACCTTCTTTCTTTCTCCCCCCCCCTCTCTCCCTCCTTCACCTTCTTTCTTTCTCCTCTCCCCTCTCTCCCTCCTTCACCCTCTTCCTTCTTCCCTCCTCCCTCTCTCCCTCCTTCACCCTCTTCCTTCTCCCCTTCTCCCTCTCTCCCTCCTTCACCCTCTTCCTTCTCCCCTTCTCCCTCTCTCCCTCCTTCACCCTCTTCCTTCTCCCCTTCTCCCTCTCTCCCTCCTTCACCCTCTTCCTTCTCCCCTTCTCCCTCTCTCCCTCCTTCACCCTCTTCCTTCTCCCCTTCTCCCTCTCTCCCTCCTTCACCCTCTTCCTTCTCCCCTCCTCCCTCTCTCCCTCCTTCACCCTCTTCCTTCTCCCCTTCTCCCTCTCTCCCTCCTTCATCCTCTTCCTTTCTCCTTCCCCTTACCCCCTTCCTCCCTCTTTCCTTCTCCCTCCTTTACCCTGCCGCCTCCCTCTTTCCTTCTTTCCTCCCCTTCCCTCCCCCTTCCCCTTCTGCCCTTTTAACCCATTTGTTTATTATAATGACTCTGTTCCACTTCCTTCTGGCTGGCTGTTGAACACTTCCATTCTAAGACGGACTTCCCAAATAATCCTAATAAATTTCCCGTTGGTAATTGCAAGTTGTAGCGCCCATCCGAGAACGCAGATAAATGCACTCATTAAGTTTTTTTTTCCCAGGTCATTAGTATAATGGTTCTCGGCTTAAGAATGAAGTCACAGTTTATGTTTAAAGTCGGGGGGGTTGGGGTGGAAGACATCATCGCTCCTCCCTCTCCCCCTCCCAACCTCTCCCCCATTGTTCCTCCCCCCCCCAAAAAAAAATGTTTTTTGTTTTGTTTTTAAACGCGAGGAGGTAGAGGTGGAAATATCATCCAAACCGCAGTGTTGACAAGTGGTTGACGTTAATGAGTATGATCCGTAATGACTCGGGAGGTACGACTTTGGTCTGGAGGTCACCGTGCTAGGTACTGTTATGGAGGGGCGCTTGGTACGAAGAACCTTCCTTCGGGTGGGCTGTTAGGTTGCGTGATATGGAGAGGAGAGGTGGACGTGGAAGTGTTGAGGAGGAAGTTATTTTAAGGGAAGGTAGGGGAGGTAGTGGAGGATAAGTGTTTTATGAGTAAGTAGGGTTGAGATTGAGGTAGGTGGAAATAGCGTGAAGGGTTGGAAAGTGGGTTGCGTGAATGGAATAGGAAATGCGATAGATTGGTAGATGGGGGTCGTAAATTTTTGGATTAGGCGTTCGCCGAGAAAATGCGGAAAGTTGTTTTTAATC